AAAGGCTGTCACGGTCAACCCGTCTACGAGGTTCTGTTCTTGTAGTTGTTTGCAGAGGAAGGCCAGCGCCATAGAGTCTGCGCCGCCGCTGACGGCCAAACCTGTCAGACAATTAGAATACAACGGTGGCCGTGATTGCTCAGCGAGGATGCAAACAAACTGACATACCCAGGTTACTAGGGATATGGCGATTGGTCTGTCGTCCGCCCCAGGAGAGACGCGATTCGCACCATGCTCGCTGGAAATGCTCCAAGAACTGGGAAGCTGTGATTGCTTTGTGAGAAAGTTGTCTGGAAAGACATGATGCAGCCATTTATCATTCTGGCTAAACTTAAGGATGATGTGTGTTGTTGACGTTGATGGAAAAGGTGGATGACGGAGGGAGAAAGTAGTGGTGGTTCTTGGCGTCGGCGGACGATATATATTTGGTCGCTACGCGAGCGCTGAAGACCTCTACGCTTAAACTTATCAGGGATCACATCAATTCACTAGGTTTCTGCAATCGCTAATCTCATTGATCGAGTACATGGTGTTCTACACGTCTGGGGCGGGCTATTCCCACAACAAACCCACAACAACCCGCCAGAAGGAGGCCACGGAGGTAAAGACGGATCCCAAACTCCGGGTGTGCAATATGGACATAGAGAATAGTATGACAGAGAAGGTTAAAGAGAAGAAAGTCGGAGCACGGCTCTCGGCCTTAATGCCTCATGGTTCGATCCTAAACGGCACGACCAGTCGTAGAGTTCACGAGTTCTGGATAGACACAGAAGCAGATCCAGACGCTGTCTGGGAATGGACGCTGCTGGGCTGAGCACTTTCTCCATCCCCGTTCGCCATGCCTGCTGTCTCCGACAGATGTGGCGTATTCGTTGCGTCGGCCGACTGACTGCCTTGGTCGCCTTCTCTACCTGACCCGGGCATTGGTATCTCTTTCTTTCCGTTGGCTCTATAGTATAGAACCATATCGCCTGATGATCGCCAGATATGAGCACGGATGGTTGCCAGAGTCATATTGGGTGGGATGAGCTGGTTCAAGTTAGCAAACGATACGAGGTTGTCTTGCGTCGACATGTACACACCATCTTCTGGCAGTAGAGCTCCAGATACTCTTCCGGCTTCAGTGCGCCTTCCTGCGGGTCTTCGGAGTATGAAGGGTCGATTCTTTCCGCCACGTAAGCGAGAATCTTCTTCGCACGCAGCATACGGTTCGCATTCAGACGAGAATTGTTGACACCGTTACCGTTAGGAACCGATCTACAGTGGGTACATTGTTAGCAGAGCACAACAGAATCCCCGAAATTGTACATACAGATCTGGCTTGGATACGGGCGGCAGCAGGTCGTCATACGGTTTCAGCATAAAGGCGATTTTGACGGGCTCCTTGACAGGGACTTGGTTCTGCCAAGAGTTAGCCATATGTCATATCCGAATCGCTGAAGAAACCTCACCTTCAAGAGTAGTTCAGCCAGCCACATGGGTATCGACTTCTCAAGCCTGTCAATTTCCTGGCCGATGCTACCAACGCTGCCTCTGTAAAGATCCGAGGCCACCGCGGTATCTCCTGATTCCTCCTGAATGAAAACGGCAGTACGAGGTGGGATATCTAGCATTGGGGTCTCGTTATCGGGACTTGGCGTGATGGCTGACACGAGCTCCTGTCCCGGATTCGCCGCGAGGATCTCATCGTATTCATGACGAATTCTCTCAATGAAACCGCACAGATTGCTATCAAAAACTTTCTCTTCTTTGACTGCCGAGGGTTCTTCCGGTTCCTCTGCCTTCTCCTCCTGCACCTGAGGCTTGACCTCTGAGGACGTCCTACCCAACTTCTTGGGGAATTCCATCCGGAATTTCTTCCCAAAGATTGATCCAGTCCTCTTCCTCTCTTCTTTATCAGGCTCGGCGGGCGATTGAGGCAGAGCGGTTGGAGTAGGATCTCCGGGTGTCGTCGCATCCAGCGCATTTGAGCCTTGTTGTCTCGGGGACGAGAAATAATCGGATTTGTCTGACATGGAATTCCTCACTACGTCGGTATGAGGCGACGCCAGATGGTCACCGACATCACCCGGCGAGGTGCCAAAGTGATTGTTGTGAGTATTGAGCATGGAAGACGTCAGAGAACCTGGAGTGGTGGCAAGATGGATTCCGAAACCAGGCGTCGTAGGGCTTCCAAACGATTCATTTCCAGGGCGCATGGGCAGAGAAGATGGATCATAAGGAATCTGTATGCCTAGATTCTTTGCATTCGGCGATGGAATGTCCATCGGTGCGGTGACACTCGACATGGTCTGTCTGGCCAACTCTTCGGCCTTTGCAATGGCCGACGCACGGTACTGCTCATCTCGTTTGATCTCTTCGTCCACTAGGGGAGCAAAAAGCCAACGGAGAACCCATTTTCCAAGATTTACTGTTTAAGGTCAGCCAGATCAGACAAGAGAAAGAGAAATCGAATATTCGATTGTCAAGGGAAGGAAAGTGACCCACTTCTTTGATCTTCCCGGATCTGTGAGTAATCATGGAGGTCGGCCTCGTCCGCGTAGACCTCGGCATCAAAGCAGCGATTGAGCTCCAGGATGACAGATAACCGACCTGTCCTAATGTCAATCGTGCACCAGTGAGCGATGCTCTCTGTAGTATTGATCTCCGATGCGACATCGTCCATATGGCGCTTGCCGAACGATTGTATTGGTTTGCACTGCAAGGGTCAGAAGAAGCCTTGTGGATGGATGGCGAGAGAAATTACCTTCAGAAGGTCCCAAAGAACGACCTCACCGGCGGAATCTTGCGTAAGCGTGCGCTTTCTGTCGTTCAGCATGAAATGCTTTATCAAACCATGTTGCCCCTCTATCGTCTCTTCGGGTAATGAATACACTGGTAGATTGAGGTCCAGATCGTCGTCCAAGTCTGGATTGGGTGAGCGCTGTTGTCCGTTTGTCGGCAAACCCTCGGATGTGCCTTCTGGTACTCGTGACTTGGGGAATGTCGATGTGCTTGTCAACAGTAGAATTGACTCATACGGTATCTTTGTTCGCCGACCTTTCTGCGCCGACGACTCCTCAGGTTTAGCTGCGTCAGAGTCTGCGGGGCCCCTCGATGAGGGAGACTCAATCTCGGCAGTGGTATCGACATCGTACCAGCGGTTGATGCTGGACTTCGGGGTGGCAGTCCAGATGTAGTCACCGGCAGCGACCACATTGACGACGCCGTCATTTTCTTGCAACGCTGCGACACAAATGCCCTGGTCCACATCCGAGCAGTGCCTTGTATCAGTCTTGGCAACCAAGCCAGAACGGTCGCTCGAATAGAAGACGGATAGCTGTGGATGGTTGGAGTAGAGCGACCAGACGCTGTCGTTGTGCATCGTCAAGGTGTGCATGCATCTTCCTGCTGTGAGAGACCAGATTTTGATCGTTTGATCTGAAGAGGCAGTCATGATCCTATCTCCGTCTCGAGTAATCAAGATGTCTCGGATGTTGTCTGTATGGCCCACGAATTTGGTGATCGGCTTTCCAGATTTCGGATCCCAGACTCTGACCACGCTCTCCGGGCCACCGCTGGCGAGGACCGACGAGACCGCCCCCAGCGCATAAACAGAACCCTTGGCCGTGCTCTCGCCTCCGCAAGCGTCGATGCTGAGAACCTCGCCGCCACCATTCAGATCCCACAGGTAAAGCTTATGATCGAGTCCTCCCGAGGCCACCCAACTTGAGTGACCTCCGGGCGTCGCAAGGGCCTTGACGTAATCTGCATGTTTGCCGATGGGTGATGGCAGCTCGGTGGATTCCGAGTGTGGTCGCCAGAGTCTCACGGTAGTATCGGATGAAGCCGAAACAAGGGCCGAATTATTCTGCGTTAAGACGATGTCATTTATCCAATGGCTGTGGGCTTGCACTTGATGCCTGAAGGTAGTCGGTCCTGACTTCTGAGCGCCTAGAGCTGGAGAGGATTTGGATGCGGAGAGAGGGAGATTGAGATCCCATGAGCAGATCACTCCATCGCGGCCAGCGGAATACCTTGGAGGACAGCAGTCAGCTATGCAGCGTACAAAAAACAGCGCGGACTTTCAAATAATTTATCATAGGCAGTAGACAGGGCATGCTCACAGAATAGAATTGTCTTCATCAACAGTCAAGCTATTTACTCCGAGTCGGTGACCACCCGGCGCATCAGGCAGAGGGAGCACTAAACAGCCGCAGTCAGATAAGCCGTGGGGGTCGCAATGCGACAGGTCAGAGGGTAGACAGCTAGGATAAGAAAAAGAACATACCATAAGTGACCCTCTGATGACTTGGTTTCCGTGCCATGCAGCGGGGAGACAGAACAATGCACTAGAAGGATGATGAAAGGCAAGGAGAAATGCTGCGGAGACGGGGAGACGATGCGGATTGCGGAGTTGTTAGTGGTGATCCGCCGGACAGCTCGGGGGACGATCACACAAGGAGTGCAGAGAATGTGGGGTACTAAGAGTGATGCATCCAAGGGCATAGATGATGATATTAACAGTGACAGAGAAAGAATGAAAATTAGATTAATGGATAAAGTAGAAGTAGCACAATTCAAAGACCGAAAGAGAGAGAATTAGGAGGAGGGACGGAGGGAGGAGAAGAGAAGAGGAGTAAAGTAAGAGAGGAGAAGGCGGGATAACAAAGAAAGCGTTCTATAAGTGGTTCTTAGTATGTCTGTGTGTAAGTACCATAGAGTAGATAATAGCCTGATTCCACAATGTCTCTCATAACACATAGATAGACTATACATCAGCGTTGTTGTTTCACCACCAGGCTGATGTTCGAGTCCTGTGCCGTGTAACACTGTTCAACGTCAACTGGCTAGATATTCAACCACCATGACAAACTGTCATAGTCTCCAACATGGTATCCACCCTGATATCATCTTGATGGCGCGGTGTAACTCCAAGGTATAAATTTGTATCTATAAACAACAAACACCTAGGTACACATCTCTCTCTACCAATCCATCTATACAAGTACCCGATTAACATGGACATCCCATTCACCTCCATTAAACCAATCTACCACCCCAAACCCACCCCCGAATCTAAATCCCAATCCATCCAAACAACCCTCCAAACCCTCCATCTTCAACCTCACCCAGAGGGAGGCTACTACGCCGAAACAGACCGGCACCCGCTCCCTATCCCCAATCCACACAACAAAGACCAAAGCAACAACGACAGCAACACCGATAGCAACACCCGCTCCCTCTCCTCAACAATCTACTACCATCTCAACCCCGACTCACCAACCTGCTTCTTCCACCTGAACCGCAGCCGCACAATACACACTCTCCACCGTGGTCGGGCGCGGTACGTCATTATCCACGCGGATTTGGCGACCGACAATGGCACTGCGCCTGTTACTTCGTTCGTGGTCGGTCCGGATCTAGACAAGGGGGAGAGGATGCAGTGGGTTGTGGAGGGGGGGAAGTATAAAGCTTGTTATCTGTTGCCTGATGACCCCTCGGAGAGCGGGGATGGGGAGAGCGAGGGGTTGTTGATTACAGAGGTAAGTGACTGACCGTCAATACCCGGTGGAGAGGGATACTGACATGCCAGACCGTTGTCCCTGGGTTTGAAATCGAGGATCACGAGTTCCTGAGCCCCCAGACGATGGAGAGGCTGCTACCGGAGGAGCAGTGCCGAGCGCTGAGTTGGATGTTGAAGAAGGATGGATGACGTCTGCTTCTACTATACATACATTGCCATATACACTTCGGTAGATATAGATATACATTCTATTGCGTTTCCCTCTTCCGCTCAAGGGTATTCCACGCCCACTGGTAACTCCCCAGGAACACCGCGCCTCCAATCCCAATCCATGCCACTCGCGGCCCAATCCCGCGCCAGAACGCCCCGAGTCCTTCCCCAGAGATCTCCCGCACGACATCGCGAATGCGCACGCGGGCGCCCTCCTCACCCCGCCGCGCCAGCATCACCCGCGTCTTAATAACATCCAGCGGCGTCGTCAACCCCGCCGCAATGGCCCCCGCAACACTCCCAAACATCGCGCTCGTCGACGCAGGAACCTGACTCACGGCGCCCGACTCCCGCGACAATGGCACCAGCACGCGCTTGGCATACGCCTCCTTCATCGACTCCCACATGGTAAACTGCAGCACCGTGAAGGGGATCTCCCGCGCGATCGTGATCCCCGCCCCGCGGTACATCTCGCGGACAACCTGCCCGTACCCGCGCTTCGCAATACCCGTCGGGTCCGGGTGCCGCAGCGCCAGGATATCCTTGAGCGCGAGGAGACTCGATCCCCCGAAGAGACCGGCCTGTGCCCGCTGCTTGACCACCTCTGTCGGAACCCGCACGGCGCATGCAGCGATCTCGCCCATCGAAGAGGCGAGCGAGTGTGTGAAGACGATGTGGGAGCGCGTTGCGGCCGCGTCGGAGCCAGCGGGAGGAAGGAGAGAGCGTTTGACGCCGTCGTAGACGATGAAGAAGGATGCGGCGGAGGGGGCGGAGCCGAACAGCACGGACGGGAGACCCGCGTAGATGCCGCGGATGGTTTGTCTTAACGACAGGGCGGGCGCTGGTGTGCTCGGAGCATGGTGTCTAGCTTTTTGTAGACGAGTTTTGATTGTGTCGAGGGGATACAGCGAGCAATCGACTGTGAGGCCGGCTACTGCTCCAGACTAGAGGCGGGGGAAAGGGAAGAGGTTAGCACTGCCACCGGAGGAAGAGTTGACAGATAATATTAAGGAGACAAGGATAGAAAAGAATTCAACCTTACAATCAGGGATCTCGTCCATAGGGAGACCAATGGCTCCGCTTCCGATTGCTGGGCCATGGTAAAACGGAACTTGAGGTTGCAATTGTTTGAGTCACGTTCTACCTCAACATGTCGTACCAAAGTGACGTTTGTGCTGTGCAATTATCTAACCAATCTATCAGAGGGTATTGTAGGAAGCTAACTGAGGATAATAATTGAAAATAAACTGTGAAAAGGTTGTAATGCTGCAGGAAGCAGAGACCGAGATTGTCCGTGTCGAAATGAAGCTCCAGATTTCGCCCATCTCCGATAATCGCCCACTGTGGGAGTCGGCATAAAGTCCGCTATCTCCGCCAACTACGTCAATACTCAATAGCCTGTTTGGAAGATCATTATCACCATTCATTGAAGAGCTCATGAACAGCCTTTACATTTTGGTATCCTTGTTGATTTATGATATCTACTTAACCACTTTGTCTCTGGGGATGCACAATTAGAGACTGGTAATATAAACAGAATGACAGGATTCCTGGCAAAAACCAGCCACACTTTAACAGCCCCTTCACGACCTCAGTTTGACGACGACGATCAAAGAGAATAATGGAAAATAAACTCTAACGAATAAACAATCTATTGCACGAGACGGATGTTGCTTCAACAGTCCACCCTAGGAAGAAGAAACCACAACGCCTGGGAAACATAATCACTAAGCCCTCTTTCCAACGCTGAGATCAACAATACAATGATACATAGAACGGATGAGTTCTGGGTAAGGGGATGAGAAGTGTCATAAGCTCCGTAGCACAGTCACGTATTCAGAGACGAAGGACGTGGCAAGAGCAAACAAAGGATGTATTAGCTCCACCCGGTACCATAGCAAGTGAAGGCCATAGAATTTCAGTTGGGAGGCCCTTGGCTATCGGAAGTAAAGGCGAATTAAATGAATAAAAGGAGGAAATATGGATGGTGGTAGAGACAGATCGTATCCAAAATTCGGTAGCAATCGTTTTCACCTGGAAGACCCAGAAACATTTTGTAGGGACAAGCAGGAGACCTATTTGGCCTTGCTATTGGCCTTGTTATTGGGCTTGTTGTTGGCTTTGCTCTGGATCGGCTGCGATGGCGAAGGGGGTTCCAGGACATGAGTATGGTTGCAAGCTTTGATAACCTCGCCTGTTACCTCCTGCCGGCAAGCTTGGATGTTGCGAACCCACTCATCGGTCAAAACATCTTCCAGAGTGGCCCGCTCCTTCACGTTCACTTTGAGCATGCGGCCGATGATATATCGGCTTTCGCGCGGCAAGATACGCAGGAGCCTCCAAGGGCCCTTGATGACCTCCTGACGCTGACTCGATGACTGCGCTGAAGCTGGGAGAGGCGGCGCTTCCTTGCTGGTTGTTCGAGTCGGTCTGCTGAGGTTGCCGCTGACCTTATCTTTAGGACTCTCAGGAGGGCGATTCTCGTCACTCGTCGTGGAGGTGGGTGGGGCTTGTTTCTTTTCCGAGTCCGATTGTGCCGAAGGCTCACTTGATCCGTTCTTCTCCTCTGCAGGTTGCGCCAGTTTGCCCTCGTTATCAATAGACGACAGGTCTGGAGCTGATTTAATGGCGCGGTGACGCTTCGGATCAGCATCCGGGACAGGGGTTCCTGGCGTTGGTGTTGAGACAAAGAGCCTATAGGAGTTGTCGCTGACGCGGGGTTGCTTCCACGGAAATCGGCGCAGTGTCATGCAGCAGAAGATAATAGCCAGTGACCATATATCGGTAGGACGCGGGTCATACTTCTTTTCGTCGTACACCTCTGGTGCCAAGTAGGGGTCGGATCCAACAATACCTGTAGCACAAAACAAGTTAGCTACTGTGGTCCAAGTAAGAGATCCGCGTTGAAATAACTCACCAGAAGCGGGAACAATGTCATTTTCAAAGGGATATCGGAAGACAACCGCACTGCCGAAATCGATGAGTTTCATGATGCCGTGCTCATTGACCACCACGTTATCCAACTTCAAATCCCGATGTGCCAGTCCCATGCCGTGCAAGTAGGCCACACCACTCAGGATCTGCTTGAAACAGCATGCGATTTCGTCCTTGGACATTTTCCCAGTCATGACGATCGCAAACAAGTCATAGGGCGCGTATTCCATAACCTCGTACCAGTGATCTCCCTCCTGAATGATATCGAGCGTCTCGATGATGTTGCCGTGGTGCAGGGTTGACCCAATACAGAACTCGGCCGTCACCTTCTTGGAATATTCCTTCATTGTCTCCCAGGAATGACGGTCTCGGAATTGTTTCACGGCGAAAGTCACTCCATCACTGTTGCGCTTCAATAACCGAACAGAACCGCCGGCTCCGGAGCCCAGAACTTTCCCGAGCTTTCCGTATTTGGTGTTGAGCCCGTGGTCATCGGCGAAAGGAACGTTTTCTGAGTGCGTGCTCTTTCCAGAAGAGCGGCTCGACCGCTTCGGAATAGAAGAGGGAGAATCGCCTCGCTTATGTTTGTGGTGTCCCATCTTGAAGAATCGCTTGAGCTCCGCCATGTGGCCATGATGATGTTTGCTTTCGCCGCTGTCGCTCTGTCGTAGATCTTTCCTGCTGCCGAAGATACCGCTCCGCTTGTCGCTAGATTTCAAATCACCAGCACTGGAGGAGCGGGGGGTTCCGGGACGACCGAAAGTTGGCGTGGTGTGGCTTCGGCGTTTGGAGTCACGGCCTCCAAAGATGAACCGTTGATCGATTTGGGCAAGGTTCTTAGCTTGAGGCGGTCGCTTGCTGCGGGCATACGGGTCGTTTGGCTCTCCCACAGGTGTAATGGCGCCCGGCGGGGTATAGTCTCGTGGTGTCATTGGCGGGCTCTCCTCCTGCGAGCTTGGTTCAGCCCCGGGACCGAGAAAGAATTGCGCCCGATGCTTGGGCCCGTTCAAGGGATGAGATGACGTTTTCGAAACATCAATCTGCTTGGCCAGTTGGTCGGTGGAAGACGGCCGAGACGAGGGAGCGCTCTGCGGTACCCCTTTTTGCTCAGCCACTACTGGAGGCGACGTTTGCGGAGTCATGGCAGCAGCAGCGGTTCTATTCGTGACATTGGTGTTAGGAGGAACGCCTTGATGTGTGGCTTCACGAGAATTAGTAGCTGCAGGTGTAAGGGGAGGCGATTGCATCGGAGAAGCACGTGGAGACGGCAACGAGGAGCCATTAGGTTCCCGGGCGCTGCGATCGCTTGACTCTCGAGACGCGATCTGTGAAGCGACGCAGTGTTAGTCTATATCGACTGCCAGGCTTTGTAAAGCGATACTATAATACCGCGAAAGCCAACATTGACCGATCGCATGCCATGTACATACCCTTGACGAAGGAAGAGAAACGGGATCGTAAGAAAAGTTTCGCAACCGAGTCTCCTGCAACTGAGAGCTCTGGAGGCTCTCTGCTAGTCTTTGTAAATCATCGTTCTCCTTTGGAGGCACCGCGGATTCTTGTTCGGGTGATTGAGGAGCGTTTGAAGAGTCGGGCGGCTCGATTTCTTCGGTGATGGTGGAAAACCGAACCTGACCCGGTTGTGCCTTGGCCATAAATTCACTGTTGGACGAAGCCGTGGCCTGGCCAGTTGCCATCGGGGTGTGCTCCTGACCTGACTGAGATACTAATATTGAAGTTGACTGCGTTAGAGAATGAGTTGCAGGCGAAAAGGTTAGAGCGTTGCTTACCGGGACCCATGGTTTTGGTTGTACCGGCAAACTCGGTCGCTCCAGACGTCATACGGACTCGTCAAAACCACGCTGTGGAACGCATGCCCCTCCGCAGTTGCGAACCTGCTGAATTAAACTTTGAAATGACAAATCCTTGTCGTTCAGATCGTAATTCCTGCTGCGACTGTAGACTGTACCTGCGGGGTCAACCTGCACAGGACGTAGAGGGCTAGATAACGTGGGAATTGTAAGGAGTGAGCGCGGGGAGGTAAATCTCGTATGGAAGACGGAGCAAAACTTCTCGCGAAGACCGATTGTTACTCAACCGTCCCAGTTTGGAGCCTAATGGGATGGAGTCAATTATTAATCGCCACTGCTCTGCATTAAAAGAAAGAAGATAAAGAATCGAACAAGTCTGGGAAGAAAGGTGACGAAGAGATTGAAAGTAGTAGGACTGGGTAGAAGATTAGACGAGGGACTAAGATAGAAAGATCCACAAGTCGTAGTTGCTGGGTAGAATAGAAATGTCTACCTTGGACGAATAAACGCTGAAATGGAGACTGGGGAATGTAGAATGAAGAGAGGGAGAAGAGTAAGTAAGAACGGTGGATAGAGAGTTTGGAGCCACTTTCAAGAGTCCGTCGACTCTGGGCTTGGACGGCGGCGGCAATAGCGGCGACGGAACGACAGGAAAGGTGGGCTGGACTCTGCGCCTATGTTTGTACGTATGTACATACTCCAAAATTACTCTTACTATGAGGAGACAAGACATCAACGATTATTTTTATAGAGACGAATATGCTAGTTAGCTGTCAAATATCTATATGGTGACCTGGGACTCGGCGAAGAAAATATCATCATATTTCAGCTTTGTTTGGCCCAAACACCGGGAGACAGTACGCTCATATGCGGATATCCTCCTTCCCTCAGATATACTGTTATAGCTGGTAGAGCGAATATTTGAAGGAATCTTTTCCTCGTGCTAAGTACAGGTCTTGCAACGAAGAGAATCGTTTACTAATGTAACAATATTCGGAATATTGCGGAGAAGTATGCTCAACTACCGCACGCAGTAGGAAGTCTGTTCAACTTGTATGACGCAGCAGATACTCATCTCTACTCTATACACCTGGCACCTTTTCAAGATGACAAAGAATACTCCGTGGAGACACCAAGGCCTACATTTTCGAGGTCAGCTGCCCCTATCTGCAGTCGGGTCCAAGAACCCCAAGGACAAGAACCAGTCCGTTCAGCAGCTGGGGAAATCTGACGGATGCCGTCTATCCGTGCAGGCTGCAGCAACCACCCAGGCCCACGATTGGAAGCCGACTGCCAGAGGACGAGATCGGTCCAATCCCGCACAGGCGGAGACCGGGATGGGCTGTTTTCTACCCCGCTAGATTTTTCTGGATTGTGTTTGGCGTTGAATCGATGATTCACTAGATAAGGATCGTGCATGCAGCGGCTAATTCGAAGGAAGACAGCCAAAGGCAAGGAACAGGTACCTCTGTACAAGGAACCTACCTACCTGGTTCGGACGGTAATCTCCCTGCCAACTGCGTGCTGATCTCATGCAGTTAGTTATAATATAAGTTTCGAGTATCTCATCCAGATAAATCATCAGCTCATTTCTTTCCACGTCTGATTTGAAGATACCCTCCAGACTACGACTTGTGAACTAGAGTGCCCAAGTTAGGTTATGTACAACAACCTGCATGGTTAGATGCCCCAGCAATCCATTTGCAGCTCCAACACGGTAACCAAAGATATGGTGGGGTAAGGGACATGGCCAGAAGAACTAGTCCTGATTAGGATGCCAAGACCCTTGCTATGACACTGCTGAATCCGGCTAGCATGGAGATCACCTGGTAGTAACTCACTCCGCAGTGGATGATCATTGTTCTAGCGTTCACCTTCGAGACTGCTCTTCTTGGGAAGTTGTCTGTCAAGAGTGGAGAGCTAGAAAGTACGACTCTGACTCCAATGTACTGAGCTGTTGAAAAGGGCTCAACTCATGTTTCTTGAAGGATGAGCATTTACTCGACGGAATTGTCTAAATGCAGCCCAATGCACATGGCGGCAATTCGTCAGCAATTGTCTGCAAATTCCAGAACAATAGAGGTATGAGGGGGTAAGGAATGCTGGGGTAGGGAGACTTCCGGTTTGGGAGCTGGCTTGTAGTCGTACTCCCCGACTTCGGAACTTTGATAGTTGACAAGAGCAATTACAACTCCCATGAACTTTCAACTAGGGATCTGCTTGTAGCATCATCCATGTCTTTTTATTTGAATTCCGCCAAGACAGCAACTCTAGGGGGGTTGCGTGGATTTGCGTAGTTTCATTCTCGCCAAGCGAATTCAGGGATAATGATGTGCAACCGTTGGACACTATTGATGAATTACATCTGTTGTCGTGATACCTAGGCAAATAACCATGACGTGCGTCTGGTCGGCATATCTGACTATCAATTAATTGTTCTTGAGCATCCCCGCCGATTTCTTGTACGCTGTCTCCTATTGTCACTTGGAGCTGGTGGGCTTCGCCCAAGTTGCCGGAAATGCTATGAACTACCTCGTCAGAACGCGATGGTCCAAAAGACATCTCCTTCTCACACCGCTTATAAGCTTATCAGAAAGCCCAAGGCAAAGGCAGAGCAACGTAACCTCAACGTAGGAAGACGCCGTCAATTTGACCTTGCTCATTTCTTTCTCAGCAACCGGTCTTCAAGTTCCACAACTCAATTTATTTCAGTGCGCGCAAATGCTGTGGGTATTTGGCGACGCTCTATATCGCATGCAAATCCTATACTGTACACATTGTAAAAGCCCAACCCAAACAACGCCGGTGTCGTAATCCAAAACAGCATGGCTGCAGTCGCACGAATCGCAAAAGTATACACTTGAGATGAACAGTTCTCTCTTATAGGTGCTTATTCAAGGCACAACCTGGATGCCAATCGACTTTGCCTGTGCCATAATACTCTTGCACAGTCCTTGCAAACTCAACCCCGATAATCTCGTCTCGGACTGCTTGATCTTGGCGATTTCGTACACATGCTTCAGGGACACTTTGCCGATGGTCTCGTGGCCAGGTCTCATGGCTCCGCGGATGCGGTTCTTGCGGGGCTCCACGTTCGCAGCCTGCAGGAGGAGATATGTCGTCGTTGGGGTTCGAAGGTCGAAAGTGAAGGAGCGGTCAGGACGAACGGTGACTCGTGCGGGAATGGGGACTCCGGTGTTGATGTGCGCGGTTCTGGCATTGAACTCCTATATTGGCGCGTGATGGTTTAGTAAGATTATCGAGCTCAACCTTTCTATCCAGATCCGCCTTAAAGCAGAAAAAGGATGTTGAAGAGAGGAAGCGTACCTTGCAGAAATCCATACTCTTGACACCCTTGCTACCCAGCGCTGGACCGACTGGGGGACTGGGACTGGCCTGTCCAGCTCCGACAATGAGCTTGACAATCTGATCTTTAGCCAATGCCTTCTTCGCCATTGTGAGATGTGTCCGCAAAGAGACGAAAGTATGGTAGGTCTGTATACAAAAATGAAGTGATCAGCCAACTATTTGCGGCCCGAGTTTTGTTCGGATTCGGATAAGTCCCAGGGCCGGAGTTTCTTACCGCTCTGGGTCATCTTCCGACCGGCCGCAAAGACGATAAAAAAGAGCATTCTTGGATTGCTCAGATGGCTGGGACGCCATTGGGATGATGTCGTTGAAATATCATGATCGTAGGATGGTCCTACCTTTTAGCAAATTGTCGTCATAGTCTATAGTAGTTTATAGTCATCACCGGTAGCATCAATACCACCTCTGCGTTCTCTCAGAAGTCAATACACCTGTTGCAGTTAAGCCGATCGACGCCATTAGTGCCCCGCGCGCTACTATTGAATTCCCTCTCCCTTCATCCCTCCCTTACACCTAACTTACAATCATCATCTCTATCTGCCCATCATGAACTGGCTCAAGTCTACGTATGCTATTTTTCCGGTCTTGTCTCTTTTCTGATGTATAGTATCGACCGTACTGATTGACTATGCTATATTTAGCCTTGCAAGTGTTGCGGGCACTCAGGAGCCCATCTATGGCCCCGAGGCCATTCAGTCTGTCGCCCAACAAGCTCAGCAGACCCCTTATACCGAGTTGACCAAGGACGACCTGCGGTGGCGCGCCTACCAATATACCAATGTTGAGACTGAGACCTTTTATGTGATGGCCGACAATGGCACTCTGGTCATGGTGCAGGTCATCTACTCCAACATCGCGTGAGTGGAACTGTTTCCGGTTCTTGCAATCCTCGGGCCTCATTTTGAGCCTGTCGACACTGCAATGGTGCCTTGTATGTATCGTGGCTGGCTCGGCACCTGACACTTGTGCAGAGGAATCCACACTACTGCGCAATTCAACTCCAAGATCTTTAACCTCAAAGGCGATCAACCCCACATCTGGCACTCCGACCCCCTATACAACTACATGTTCGATGAGAACATGCTCTCTTTCGGAGCCGACAATCTCGCCTTGACGCTGAACGAGGAGGGAACTGCGTACACCATCAAGTCCGCTGTCAACGAGGACAGCCTGGTGAATCTGACGTTCACCCGCGCCGCCCCCGGTTTTGTCGTAGGAAAGGACGGCACATCTTACTTCGGGACCGATCCCGCGAACCCCTGGGGGTCTATGATGCATGCCTTCTGGCCTCGGTGCCGTGTTGAGGGTACAATCACGACGAAGGAGAAGACTTATGACCTCACCGGTCGGGGAATGTTCATTCATGCTATCCAGGGCATGAAGCCCCATCACGCTGGTGAGTTTCCTTCACCTTGTGTTAAAATGTTGAATGAGAATACTGAGCCGGCAATAGCTGCACGATGGAACTTTGTCAACTTCCAGACCCCGTCATACTCTGCCGTGATGATGGAATACACCACACCGCCCTCGTACGGCTCGACGGTCGTCAATGTCGGTGGCATTGTGAAGGATGATGAGATTATCTATGCCGGTGCAACGAACTCGGCGACCCACACCGCGTCGGCCCATGACGCCGACAGCGACTGGCCTGCTCCAACTTCCATCAAGTGGGTCTGGGACGGTAAGTCGAAGGACGAAAAGGACGTCCACGCAGAGCTCGAGGGCCCCCTTGGTAACCGGCTGGACCGCATCGATGTCATGGCTGAAGTACCAGGCTTCGTCAAGACCATCGCTGGAAGTGTTGCTGGGACACGGCCGTACATATTCCAGGTGAGTTTTTCTTCGGCAAACTGGCGTGAGTTTTGTCAAGCTAACAATTGGCCAGTATTCTCCTCATGAGAAACTGTCTCTGAAGCTCAAGATCGGCGATGAGGAGTTCTCAGAGGAGGGTTCCATGTTCTCTGAGGCTACGTTCATCTCGTGAATGACTCTACGTACATATAGCACACCTGACAGGAATGGTCTGTGGCGTTTTGACTATTATTTTGCCCATTCTCGTTGATACTCATAAATCACGCAACCTGCGTGACCCTAATTACTCATATAAAGATTTTTTTAATGCTATTCATACTTGTCAAACCTCAATGCTATTATCCCAGTTCTGCTTAACGTCTAGGGGTCACATCAAAGCTGGTTTCATGTTTGTGCTATTGAATGTAAGTGATTCACCCAATTCACGACATCTCCAGTAGCACAACACAATAGACAATAAGCTAACACAACTTGTAGTATTTATACGATAGAATTTCCTCGACTGCCAACAGCAAACTGTCTTCCAACATTCTCACGCAATCTTTATACATCTCTTTGAACTTTCGCAAAGATACACAACGTCAATCACTACTGGTCATAATGGACGTCACTCACTTAGCTGCCAACCCGAATACTCGAGGCCTCCTTCTAAAAGGACACCGGCGTCGGTAAGTGCCTATGACCTCAGCAATCGGGACTTGACCAGCATCCCATACACATTCCCCATGCTCACCAACAATGAACTCACAGTTTCCTCCGTGACAACATAATGGGGATCAGTAAGTCTCCATCAAGCCAAATCCGAATCTCCAACCACTAAGACCACACTCTAGCCAAACCCGCTATCCGGTAAGCTACTCTCCCAAGCGGCGAACATCCATGAGACATCCCCTCTGAACCACCCCATCGGAATCACAGCCGTCTCGCCCGTCGTGCAGGCGTAGTCCGGATAAAAACGGACATTTACGCCGAAATACGCTCTGTGATACGAGGACGGCTTCGTGAGGTGAGAATCATTCCCCTCGAACTACCGTCAAAAGCACAGCCTCGGCCTTTCCCGGAGAACAAGTCTTGAGCTTCAGGCGAAGGAGAAGGAGATGTACTAACAGCCTATCTGTAGATCTTGTTCCAAGTTGTGCAAGTTCTAGAGTCCTCCAAGACTCATAGACACGACAGGAAGGTTAGTAGCATGGAGTTTATTTGCTTGCTGTATAGTGGAGGATTCTCCCTGTTGACCGACTATATCTGCTCTTGCTAATCTTTTCGAGCAGGTTGTCACCACACGGGATGTGAGTTCTGATAGCTGAACTGGAACGATGCGAGCGGATACTAATACGGATCTCTGATTCTCAAGGTCGTCTACGCCTTGCAAAGAGTGAGCTTTACTTATCCCCAGGGTTATTCAGTTACTAACTTTTGCTATTGCAGATGGGGCAAACGATGTATGGTTTCTAGATCGTCGGGTGACTGTCTGGACTGAAACTTTGAGGAATCTAACCTTGGAAGACATAATGACAGAAGACCGATCAGACTATCAACAGCAATGGATGACGGAAAGAAAGTTCTAAGACAAATATTGAAAGAATGCTGCGTAGTAAAGTCTATCAATGAAATAGTACATAATGAGAAGAGAATCCGCCAGCGGGACACTAAAATGTACAGAAACTTAAGCGGAAATTTGGAAATAGACTCAACCTTCAATCATCAACTGTTCTCCTTCATCCAACAAGGTAGTGATCTTGGACAAGTCCGAGATCATCTTGTTGCCATGCCCGACCAACAGTAGTTTCTCAGCATTGGCTGGCAGACCCAGATACGTGGGTGGCTCTCGCTCAGGGAGGCGTTTGACCCATTCGACAAAGTCACGGATGCTGGTTTCTCCAGGCAGTGCCAGACACTCGTCCTTCTCAACACCCGAAACGAGCTTGTAGTCCACTTCGAAGGCAGCCGGAGTTAGGAAGCTGTTCACAAGGTTGTCCAACACCTGGAAGTCTTCAGCGTCGTCGACCTTGCCGCCGTATGTCTCCGTTATCAGGGTACGGATCATTTCCCAAGGGAGTTTCTGAGGTGCAACATTGGATCGACCCTGGGCAACCGTCTCCACCCAGACATCGATGATATGAGCCGAGCATTCGTACTATTAAGAATTTGTTAGTGGGATTGCAATGATGGATTCCCATACAGTAGTCACTTACGTCACTGTCATTAAACTCCCAGAAGCCCTTCCAACCCAGGCTAGGCGCATAACGAAGTCTTTCTTGAACAACGGCATGCAAGAAGCAAAGCAAGAGATAAACACGCGCTTTCTCGACCGGGGGTTGGCCGGCGCGTTCCATCAGTGTAGACAGTGAGTCCCTCATATTTGCACGAATACCCGCTGGTTGCTCGTACATCAGGACGCGAGAAGCGCGGATGAGATTGACTGGAATCTTGGGACTGGACTCCATTGACAGGAAGAGTCGGAAATCCTTGTGGGGTTTGAGCGAGTCGAGCCTCTTCTCCAGACTTTGAAGCCACGAAGGTGCCAGGTGTACGTTTTTGACCAGTACCCACGTTCCGGCAGTAGCAGCATTGCTGATTGCTTTGTCGGCACTCTCGAGACCTTCGTTGGATCCCATTGCAATATTGGCGCAGGTTGCGTGCATACGTTCGACGAGAGCATCCACCTTGTAACTAGCATCGAATCCAGGACTCGAGCTAAGAGAGATTGGTGTGGTTGCCGCAACCTGCTCAACAACGTCCTTCAAATCGGAACTTCCTTCGAAGAATTCTCGGCCAAAGACCGCCTCGATGAAACGCTCGGCAGCTGGTACGAATCTGTCCAGCCTGCAAAGCTTCACCAGCAACAATGAGCGAAGCAGTCGGTCGAGCTGCTCGGTGTTGTCATCCCAAACGACCGGGACACAGTTTTCAGCCAATTCCTCGCCCAAAAACTGATCCCATTGTTCTTGTGAGATATTGGCGAATGACGCTTTGAAGATTGGCATGTTCGAGATCTTGGTCAGAACCTGCTCTTTAAGCTCCGGAGCAGTCGACAGATCGGCACCCTGCACCGACTCATCGAGAATGATATCAATGATTGTCTTGTCCATCGGGTAAGGAGCAGCTTGTGCGAGAAGCATGGCCAGCGTGATACGGTCTTTCTGAGCCAGCCCCAGGGAAGTCCGCTGAAATGTCGTAACGAACAAATCCTTGAGAATGATTTGCACGCGTGCCGAGTGGTCCTTCTCCGCGGCAAGGCGCTTGTTCTGATAGAGGACCGAGTGGAAAATATC